AATGCGAAGTTCTAGCATTAATATAAATTATAAACGAGCATTCTTAACATTAATATATATATAATAAATTAATCCTGGTATTTGACAATCCATAAAGGTTCAGAACAGTTAATCTGTTGCAAAACGAGTTTCTCTTGTTTATATAAGTCTGTGAACGAGAATAATACATTAGAAAAACGGGTAACGAACCTATGTGAAGTTTTCCCTTAACATTAAAAAAAAAAAACTTTCTATAGCATTCGATGACTCATCGTTTGCATCATATTCACATACATTTCAATTGAATCGAATTGTATGTGAATGTGCAAACAAAAGTTTTTTTCTCGTAAGTGAAGGGCTAAGCTAATGTAAGATTGCTCTCATTCAAATTCTTTTGTTAATATACCGTTTGAATTAGAGTGAAAAACGAAAAACACGGGTGAAAAACGAGTCGTATAATATTAAGTTGATAAAATAAGAAAAAGTAAGGTAAAATTTACCCTTTTTTTGCGAATGTAGTAACACTTACCAAGAAGTATTTCAAAAGCAGTAGCAGCATCCTCTCTCGTGTACGTGTCCGGTGAAATAAGTTCACTAAATTTGACAGCTTTTTTGTCATGCCAGACAACTTCTAATAGCGCCAAAATCTCTTGGCTTGTCAGTGCAGGTTGCGAGTGTCCGCTTGAACTGCTGTAAAAACAATATTTTTATCATATATCAAATAATTCGTTGATAAATGGTAGACTTGATATAACAAAACATGCTAAGTTTCGTAGGAAAGAACTATGCAAAATTGTTAGGTTACAACAAAGCAATAAAAGTTTTGTTTTTTCCTCAAGCTTTCGATTAATGAATCCTATGTTTTGTCAACATTCGTTTATAGAAACTCAAATATACACTTAGAATATTGTTATATGTCCAACTCTTTACTTAACAATAAAAGAAAAATTCAAAATACCTGGTAGAAGGTATGGTAGAAGGTACTGGAATGTGTTTCGCCGTTTTCGGAGATTGTCGCTGTCTTTCTAATAAAATGTCTATATCTTCAAAGCATTCATCATTACTTATATTTATTCTTTCCTGATCCGGCCTCTGTTCAACGATGCTGAAATAATATCATTTAATGATATTGAGAAATTGAGGAAATATCGCAACAGTTGAAAGACTGAGTATAAAACTGAATAATCCTTAATAATTAAATTTTTAGTTAAATAACTTCTTGAATGTAAATATCATAAGTTCTTCATGATGAAATAGACTTACCTAGTGCCTTCTTCTAAGACAATCGCTTCCGGTACCTCTTTCGGTAATGGTACCATTGATACGTCCATAGTTTCGTAAATTATAGTTTTCTCTGTTAAGAGGCTTGTAACACTATCTCCGGATTCGGCAGCAATTGCCATTTCCGTCTTTTGGAATGTACTTGCTTCTTCTGCAGGAAGATCTAGCCTGCTAACTGTCTCTTCTACATGCATTTTTTCAAAAACTAAAAATATAAATTTATTCACAGTTATATATGCATCAATGTGAATACTTAATAAATGTCTAAATAATATAGACCTACATTGCGTAAATTCAGCAAATGCAACATCTTCATTTACATTCTTGAACGGCCCAGCGATGCGAGCAGCAAAGCGACTGCGTAAACTTTTGTTCCATCGCCTAGGTGAGTGCGAAGATTGGTTGAAAAGATTTATCGCCGGTGTCAGCGATAAATTTTTTGTTAATGGTTTATCCAATTTCTAAAGATAATCAAAAATGTTAGTCAGAACCTTTAAGACTTGTTTGAAATTAATCTCGCTTTTTGAACTTCTTTGTAAGTTTATATACAACTTTTGTAAGCTTATATAATGTAGGAACTCACCTTGCAATGAATGTTTACATTCTGACGCCATTTCTGAAGCTGTTTGTCACTTAACTCTGTTTTTTTATCAATAATTTTGCTTTTCTTCGAATGACTGCGGATCACAAAGTAGCTTGAATCTAATGATTCCAATTCCATGTCAGTTTCCTCTTGCTGTGGAAGAACCAACATTCTCGTTTCTTCTCTAGGCAATTCAGCCGGTACTACCACGTCTTCTACAGGTGCAGGAGGTACTGCCACATCTTCTACAGGGGGTACATCAGTCGCCGATGCAGTGTCAGAGAATAACTGAGAAGTAATATATAGAAAGAATTAGAGGTAACAATAAAATATAAATTAAATATAAATAAAAAGCGCAAAATAATTTTTCTAAAGAAAAAAAGTGGAAAATAGATTTTAATTTTTTCAAAACTTTTTGGTCATTATATGGCTCGTATTCATAGTCCGTTCTTATATCAAAACAATCTTAAGTAATGTCTTAAGATGCTAATACGGTTCTCAGGTTGATTTATAATACCTTAAAATTGTACTTAAGACTGTCTCAAATATAAAAACAAATTATGAATCAAACAAAGGGAAAAACGCCGTAATCGGCCAGGACTGATTAATTGAGTGATTTTTTATGTACAATTCTTTGACCTATGAAAAACTATGAATATCGGCCTATGTATTCTCATTTGTCTTCTACTTTATGGAGTTAAAACAATCATTATCAGTTATAGACAAACTTACACGTCTTCTCTTCGTAGGCGTTTCCACCTTTTGCATTTGCTGTGGCTGTCGTTTTTGTGGAGTTAATAACAGTCCCTCTTTGGACTTCTTTCTTTCCGATATATCCAGAAGTACTGGACCACGGGTTTCCTGAGATAACTGTTTTTCTTGGATCTCTATTCATTAAATGATTTTATTAATTAATTTAATTTAAACATAATATAATAGTCTATGTATTATATTTAAAAAATACCCCATTGATCCACTTACCTTCTATTGTTACATCATCAGCTGTCTTCTTTGAGAATGCTGATCTTTCCTTTGCTGTCTGTAGTTCATGCATCTGGTCACTAAAACCATTAATAGTAAAATATATTATTCTTTGTTAAAAACGTCATGAATTTATTTTGAGCTAATAATATAAAAACGAAAAAAATTAAATAATTGCATAAACTATTGTCATTTTGTGAACTTTTGTTGAATTACAATTAAAAACACGCTACAAAAAAATATAAAAATCGGAAACTTACAGTGCGAGATTGAAATCATGTTTAAGCATAAAGTCCAACTCTTCGTCATTTAAGGCACCAAAATCACAACATGCTGCATCTTTCACCTGTGAATGAAAAAATTTTCAATATTTAAAAATAAGGTTTACAATCAAAGAATCAAAAGTTCGGAAACTCAAGGATGTTATATATCACATTACAGGATTTAACATTTGAGAATAAAAGTTAAAAAATACAAAATTTATTGATAAGCTTGCAGTAAACCGTACGAGATCTTCACTCACAATTGTCCGTTGTCTTTCATCAATCTCTTCGTCCGGAAGTAAGTGTAAGTCTATTTCTAATTGAGCGTTAGGAAAGTTTTGAGTGGAAATAGGCACATCTATTGCACACAATTCAAGATCCTTAACTGCGTCATACTCATACTCTTTATTCTTCAACCCTCTGTCGCCGCCACCACGGCCGCCGCTGCCACCGCCAGAGTCAAATTTTTGTTGCATTTCAAAAACTTCCTCTGAAAAGTAATGAGATTACATAAACTGGCATAGGTGATATCATTAATAAATATATATAGAATTGAACTTACTCTGATAATGTGCAACTTGTAAACGATGAATTCTTGTTATGCCGCACATTAATTGTGATGACAGATATAAGCTAAATCTATCTGATCTGTTGCGCAACTGCATTATTTCCAAAATTTGCTCGCTGGCGATGTAATATAAAATGCAAACAAAAGTGTCAAAATTGAAAAAAAAATGTCATTATAAATGTTCAATATTAAAAGTACATAAACAAAATAATTTACCAAGTTTCTACAGTATTTATCTTCTTTATAGCACCAGAATTATAGTGTCTTTTAAATAATTTCTCGCTGACCGTTGCAGCGAGCCAACAAGGAGCTAATTTGCCCCTTCGTCGATGGGAAAGCAGTTCAACTGGATAGAACATCTGATGAAGAATAAGTCTCATAAATAAGAGCAAATTCGTAAATAGCAAATGAAAGATCATGTTGAAAGAATAAAAATGAAAATCATATGGCCAGTCTACAATGAGTCGTTAGTCGTTAGTCAGATGTCGGAAGAAATAGTTTATAAGCGTATTGTAAGCAATCGAAGGCCTGTAATCGGTGATCGTAAGAGATGGCATTTGGCCAATCGCTTATGATTGCCGATTACAGACTTCCGATCGCCTTATGACACGTTTATGACTTTTTTCGATTCTCTTCCGACATCTGACTAACGACTAACGACTCATTGTAGACTGGCCAATACTCAGATAGCACATAGACGTACGTCAGGTTATCCTCAATACATCCAGGCACGTTCTGGGTGTATCGAGGCCGACTTATTGTTCTTATTGTTCCGGATAACAAATAAATAACAGAAAATAACGATGGAAATTACCTTGATCTATGTTTATTATTGACCGATTATCCTAGTCTTCAGTCATATGGATATACTTGTCGAATGTAACGATCAAATTCTTCTTCGATCAAAGAATCTCTCAACTTTTACAATTTATTGGATCAATTTCCTTCAAACGCGCTTTCCTTGAATATTACACTTCTCCTCTTTCGTAAGTTATCTCATTTTTCATGGAGAGACTCGTCAAACCTTTGCCGTCAAACGTACTCCTTCTCTTCGCACTACGATTTTCAAATTGACAAAAAAAAAGATTGCGTGCGCGCCGAAGACGGGAGGCATCGACGGGTTTGTTCGCAACGCGCGACGAAGGCTGACGATAATTGCGAGCATCTCTCGACGCTGACGTTGGCGCTAGCACTGGCACTGGCGTGTCACGTTTTAAGTCCGCCTTAAGATTTTCGTTACTGCGCACGCGCAAGAGTTTTTCCGCGTTCAAGCGGATTGAAGTGGATTTTGATTTGCTCCGCGATTTTCGTGCCGTGTATATGTACATACATACATACAGCTGGTCGCGCGTATCAATACATGTGGAGACCACATGGTGGACTGGTGGAGACGAGATCAACAGTGATCAACGGTTGGATGCAATGATGCAATTTTTACCTACTAGCTACTAGATGCATATCCAATTCGACCAATTCTACTAAATCTAGTGGAAATTCTACTGACTTGGCAACACTGCTATCCGGCGGGACCGTGTGGCGCGACGCGCGCTTCCGTACTTTTGAACTGATTAGACGATTAACGTTTGCCCTTTGAGTGACAGCGTAACTGCGCCGCACAGTGGGCTGAATTGTCAAATTTGTGGACATATGTCAATAACTCATTGGAATGTCAATAAAACAGTCTAAAAATT